CACAATAATAAAAAGGAAAAGATCATAAAAGATAGAATTAAAAAAGACAGCATAGTTAAATACCTATAACGATCAAAGAGTTGTGAATATATATATATATATATATATATAATATATATATATATATATACATACATACATACATATTATGGATCGTACCCAAAGCTCTAATGGGCGAAGACCATACATTTTAGAGGCCAAACATATATCAACCAATTACATCATTCCAATGCAGTCGCTCTAGAATCTTCAGCCTTGAGAAAAAGAATATGGGAACCAACTAGCACATGGAGAGTGATAGGTTTTCTACATTTAATCACACAATTATGCGCATAGGAAACAAAAAATAATTCTGATATGTTTGATTTTGCTGAGTATCCAAGAAAAATTGTTTCATCGGTTTTAGGCTGAAATTTCGTGAGTTGATCACGGTTGTTTTTGATAAAGCACCGACAACCAAAGACATATAAAAATGAGATACTTAGCTTACGACCATCCATTGCTTCATACGGTAGTGGACATAGCTTCAGCTCAAAGATAAAGTGGAAGATTTGCAAAGTTGAGCATCGATTGAGCAGCTTCAATAAAAGTTTTGTTTCTTCTTTCAACCACACTGTTGTGCTTCAGGTAAGCTAAATATGCCACATTTAAGACAGAGAAATTTCCATTGGTGATGATGTCATAACCTCAGATCTGAGAGTTGGAGTTGTTGCCATTCATCACATAGCTAGCATTAGGTGAGAGTTTGAGATCACGCAAAAAATCTTTCTGGCCCGTCATGTGCATGGAACAAGCGCTATCAATATACCATATTGTTTCTTGTTCCGAAGCACAGAGTTTCATACCCCGCTAAAGCGGAAACACGGGACGCAACAGTACAAATGGTCTCATAGCAAAAGTTAAAAGACAATACCAACCATAGTATTAAAAAGAATTAAAATGTACAGTGACTTTGAACAACTTTTTAAAATAAATTACAATGTACTTGAAAGACAACACATGCAAATGCTCCTACAAGTGTTGTGTCTCTATGTGCCTCTTACTAGATGATTCCTGAAAAGAGCGTGTAAAATGAGCGTAAACTATAAAAATAGTTGGTGTGTTCACAAGTTAAAAATAAAATTGGTTTCATGAATCGTAATCAAAGTTTTGAAAGAAGTTTCCATAAATAAAATTATATTGCTAAAATAAGTAAATAAGTTTGCATAAACAAGTTCGTTGTCATCATGAGAAATAAAGTACGTTGCCCAAATGAGATGCAACTGTCATATTCTCATGGGAAATAAAGTTTGTTGCTAAAACGAGCGAACAAGTTTCATTGCTATAATGAGCAAACAAGTTTGTTGCTACAAGGAGCAAACAAGTTCATTGCTAAGGCAAGTAAATATGTTTCCAGTAACGAAAGTTCGCTGCCATAATAAGAAACAAAGTTCGTTGCTATAATAAGTAAACAAGTTTGTATGCATATGAGCAAACAATGAGTTCACAACAAAGCCTATGACTGATACCATATCAAGATCTATGCTTATCGTTCCATAGATGAATATGGTATCATGCACTCAAGTAATCGGGCCAGTGAGGAGTTGTCAATTTCGAATAGCGCTATCCATAATGACCATTGGCTCAAAGAGTTAATGGTTGGAGTAAAGTGTGAGGGAAGGGACTTAAGACGATAAGGCCTCATGTTTCAAGTTGCATAGACACTCATAGCAAAATATAACAATCAAGTTTGATACAAATCAGTTTAAATACAATGACCAATAAATAGTGTTTCGGACATGCTTTTCCACCCCAAAACATAAAAACCAAAAATATGGCAAGGCGTGAATACTCACAATGCTTTGAGATGATGCAAATGATGCCTTGAACTATGTTCCACTTATACCACTACTGATTCCTACAATAATGGTATACACTAGTGAGTCTTTAATCAAAATCTAATACTAATATACTTAACTTTTACAATAGAATTATGTCAATAATGTGTCAAAATTTTGATATTGATAGGTTATAAACATTTTTCTGTGAAAATTAAATTTCCATGAATCAATTGTTATATAACAATTTAAGTAGAAAATTCTCATTATTGAAATGTTAATATTTTACATTTTAAGTGGCGTTTGAATGATTAATTATTCAAAATATAAATCAATTTAGTTCCAAAATTTTCCAAAACTTTGTATTTTAATTCTAACTGAAGTCAAAGATCCCAATATAAATTTTCTTTAATTTTCGATTTGTCTAACTATTTTTCACCATTTTAATTTCTTGAATAATCGTAAAATCATGAAAAAATACTAAACAATTAATAAAAGTTACCAAACTTCGGATTTTGGTTCTAAAAGTATTAAAAGTTTTCCAGATAAGTTTTAACGGATTTTAGATATGTATAATCATTTGTCCAATATTTAATTCTCTAGATAGATATAATTTCATAAAAAATAACAATCAGTTAAGAAAATTCCCCAAACTTTGTGCACCACTGACATGAAACATATATAATCTGCGAAAAATCATAAAATGTATTTTCAAACAGTTTAACATGAATTTTCTTATTTTTGTGTATTTATTCTATCAAAATAGAGATAAATAGAAAAAAGTTTCAAAAATTCACCAAAAATTTATTTCTACTGTTACTACATATATAAAAGCCGTGAAAAATATAAAGGTTGGTTTGCAAATAGTTTATATATTTTATTTGTTTTATTCACTTAAATAAGCATTAATTTGTGAATAATTACTAAATAGTTAAGGAAAATTACCAAACATTTTGTAAACTTCGTATACAAAGTACATAAGCTGGGAAAATTACCAAAATTGATTTTCATATATTGGAGTCCGAGTTTTGGATTTATGTACATTTAATTTAAGAAATATAGCATAAATAGCAAAAGGATTCAAGGATTCTTCAAAATTTTTGTAAAATTATTATTTGATGTATAAAAACTGGGAAAAATATCAAGACGTGTTTTTGAACAATTTAACCTGTTTTCATGATTTTTGTGTATTTATTCTATAAAAAATGAAAATAAATACTAAAATGTTTAGAAAACTGTCAAAACTATTTATTTTAGGCTAAACTGTAACCGTAAGAGAAATTCATTAAACTTTTTATTCACGATTAATATGTATTATAAGATATTATGGTAAAGTTTTATAATTTTTGGACCAGTGTAGCTATTTATTACCATTTTAACCCCTTAAACCTTCATTAAATCGGGAAAAATAATAAATACTCGTCGAAAAATTTGTAAATTTTTTAATGGTGTCTTTACGATGTCCCAAAGATTTGAAAATTAATATGGTTTTGGACATTGATAACTTAACTTTCTGTTTTTTTGAAACGACGAATATTATAGAAAAACTCAACCCACGACTAGCAAGTAACTCGCGATGGGAGGAGGAAACCAACGAAAGAGCGTACATAATAAGAAGAACAACATGAAAGGAAAATACAATGCTATGGGGCATGGAAAGGGGAGGACTTCCACTCTTCCCATTTACAAAAATCGCCAATTCCCCTACATTTAAACCAAAAAACACCAAAGATTTTACTTTTTCAGCACCTAGCGTAGGGTTGATGAAGTTCTCATTGAAAAGTCTATCATTCCTGTACTTCCACAAGTTCCATAGTAATCCGTAGCAAATAGTGCTGAATTCCTTTCTCCTTATAGAACATCTGCTCTAATTTTCTACGAATATGATCAGATCGGTGGTAGAGTTGATGGGCTTGTGTTGTATACAACACCATGTAAATATTTCCTCCCTGACAGCACATGCGAATGGACACAACACCAAAATATGATTTGTGTGTTCAATCCCATTAATACAAGCACTACAGTGAATAGAAGAGATGTCAACCCCCCGTGACCATAAAGCCACCGCGGAAGGGATTTTTTGTTGCATTGCTCGCCATATGAAACTGTTGACTTTTTGTGGTGATAACATGCTCCATGTGAAACTTGGGAGGACAGGGGTAGGATAAAGATGTTGTTCAATTTTTTATATGAGAATACTAACCTTGAATAACCCTTTCTCTCCAAAGGAGAAACACAATTGGTCTTCTCCGGTCACTAAGTGCACATTGGATAGATCATGTTCCAGGTTGGTGAGGTGGTGAGATATTGTTGAATCACTCATTCTTGATTTCCATTGACCTGTGAAACTGCCACCAATAATTCTATCTGCCACAGAGCGATTTTTCCTTGATTCTTGTTCATAAAGGGAAGGGTATTTCTCCTTTAATGTTTCCTGTCGAAGCCATTTGTCGGACCAAAACAAAGAATTAACTTCGGATTTGATCTTCAATATAAACATCTCTTTGGTGTCTATCCCTACTTTCTTCAACTCTTTCCTAACTGAAGCTATGTTTTTCCAGACTCCATTGATATTCCTGTTTGCCAAGTGATCATGAGGTTTATTATGAAGATTGTGTATACCTTTTATTGTTTTTCCCCATAGCGATTCTTTCTCATCTTCACCACCACTTTACCAGTAAAATAGTGTTTGATGTGCTGATGGATCCCACACCGAGTCCTCCAATTGACTTTGGAGTGACAACTTTGTCCCAGGAAACCCAATGAATTTTCCTTTTGGTTTCATCTCCCCCCCCATAAGAATCGAAACCTTATTTTTTCTAGAGTTTCTGTTACTGCCACCGGAGCCTTAAATAGAGAGAGCATATATGTAGGGAGGTTCCTTAATACTGAAGTGAGTAGCGTTAATCTCCCGCCGAATGAGAGTGTTTTATATTTCTAAACAGACAATCTAGATTGAAATTTGTCTATTATTGGCTTCCAATTTTTTATGAGGTTCATATTTGCACCAATAGGAACTCCAAGGTAGTTAAAAGGGAATGAGCCAGCTTCGCATCCAAGGATGCTAGCCTAGTTCGATATCTCCCGCCTGTTCGAATCAGATGTTACTTGAGCATAAGTTATGTTATCTTTCATCGCCTGTATATGCGTGGGGGCAACATGAAAGGTACTCGGAGGTCTTTTCTACCTATTTGTGGGCTGTTGACGAGATTCATGGGATCGACGTAGTGTGGTTTTATGTTGATGCTTTGAGATGTTGACTTCCATTACCGTATTCTTACATCTGGTAACTTGTAGTTTGTTCTCCAATTCCTTGGCATCTGCGATGTTGACATACCTGACGAATGCAAAATTCTTCTTGTGGTAATCTTTTTTCAGGCCAAAGTACACATCCACTACCTTCCCAAATCTATCGAATGGTTTCCGTAACTCCTCCTTTCTTGTTCCATCAGGGAATCCCGCCACGTAGAAGTCAGTAATGTCATTTTTGCTCACCTGGGTTCTGTTGTTATTTTTCTTCCGTCGGACCTCCGCCCAATCTCCATTTGGTTGGGGGAGTGCCATATCAATGTTGCGCAAGAGAAGTCGGTGCAATAACTATGATAACTTAACTTTACTATTTATTTTTCTTCCATAAAAATAAATTTGAAATCAACAGAAGACAGTCACATAAATGCATGAAACTTCATGAAACGTCTTTAATCAGTGTATGGGTAATATCATAATTTTTCCAGAATTTATTGACCACAAAAAGTATTTTATGTGAATTATTGTTATATTTTCTTACAATAATTATAATAATTCGAGAAAACTAAGATATCTTCTGAAACATTTCAGAACTTCTCATTTTCTTGGTGGGATTCTGGGAGAAATCAGATTTGAATAGAAAAGAAGTTTTCGATATTTATTTGTGAATAAATCCTTTATGAACATCTTTGAAAGCTTTTAGCAACAAACTTTGATCATCTATCATCTAAGCTTGAAGATCATTACATGCATGTTGGCTTGAAGACCATTCATGAGTTTGAAATATTCAAAAGCCATTTCTGAGAGAAAACTTAGGGTGCATGTGGTGATTTTCCACCAAAACTTGTAAAAAAGTGCATTATGTTGATTTTGACTTAGGTTTTGTTCATGGGACTTCATCATTTACAACATGCTTGTTGTTTTTGGGTGAAATCCTACCACCATCATCATCAAATCCGATATTCATGGTTAAGAACATGAAGGTTCATAAATAATGGTGTAGAAGAACAAGAAAATGTAAGTAAACTTGTAATCTTTGAAGGTAAAGTAATGGAAATGTGAGGGATTCGATTTTACCTTGATGCATAACACTAGATGATGAATATTTTTTTAGTAAAATGATGTTCTTGACTGATTATTTTCATGGGTTAGAGAGAGGGGGAAAGAATGGGGGTTTTAGATAGAAGAAAAGAGAGAAAAGAGAGATTCTATCTCTCTGGATAGCTCATCTCCCTCGTCATCTCTTTGGGGTTATACTCGACCAAAATCGTCCACCAAAATACCGAGATGCATGTAGACTCATGAATTATCGACTGGAAAAATCTCTCCTTCAGATTCTGCTTCTGACTTCGTATTTACTAGAGAGAAGGAGGAGAGAAGTTTTTAGAAAGAGAAAGAGAAGGGTGGAGTGTGGGAAATGAAGGATGTGATTATGATTTTGGGAAAAGATGTATGTGGAGGAGAGAGGACGAATTTATGAGGTATAATATCCCTTTCTTTCTCTTTTATCTTTATAAAATTTATATCTTTTATAAAAATATGAAATATTTATAAAAGATGGAACTTAACGAAGTTCTTATGCATAAAACTCTTGATTTTTAGATTAATAATTAAAGATATATGTTGAATATTTTAACTTATATCTTCCTTGATTGTATTTCCAAATTTTAATTATTCTATGATGTTATTTTAAGTTTCATAATCACTTTTATAAATTTTGATATTAGATTTATATAAATTAAGAATTTTGAGGACTTTTAGGGTTTTAAGGAGTTTGTAAGTCTTTGGATATCAGAATTAATTGAATTTTTGAGACTTCAAATTATGTGAGAGTTTCATAACTCTTTCTAGTTAAAAATAATGTTTGTAATTCGTTTTTGTCGGTTTATTGGCATCTCTATGTAATGATTCCAAGATTCAAGTTAAATTGAAGAATCAAGTATACTAGCCCTAGTTTTCACTTTGACATAATTTCTTACGAGACTCGGACCTAATATCTACTACTAGCTCAAGTGCATGATGTGTGTATATGATTCATGAAAATGTGTTCAAGTCAAGGAATGACCCGAATTTGAATAGGTGTTATAGTTAAAGTAAATATAGAAGTCATGTATCAATGTGAAATCTAAGTACACTATCCATCGTTTCTAATTGTTTCTAAGTTTCTAGTAGGTTATAACTTAGCTTCTAGTTACAAAGTCTAGTATGTTTCGTGCCTATATGTGCAACTATGCTTATTCAAATCTTCAACTGTCTCAAATTTTGACGGTTGTCACACAGAGTGCTTGCAAAAATTAGTGAATTTTGGAGTTTTTACGCTCCGAGTTAAGTTTTGGGACACGGGCACAAGCTGTGGACATATGTTGTGACTTTTGAAAAACTGATGTTTCAGAAGGTTTGTTCCGAGATTCTTCCGGAAAAAACAGAAAGCCATGGTCTTTTCATTGATCCAGAAATCATATTCAACAATGGGTTGTTTTGGAACAACTTTTCTCGGACCAACAGTTTTCGAAACTGTAGGAATAACAATGTTACTTGGAGTTTCAGTTTCTTTTTTGGCATTTTTGATTTTCCAATCAAAATTTTTGTTTGATTCTTTTGAAAATTTTTGAGTAACAATGTTTTTCGCAACTCATTCTTTGTTTGCTACTTTTTATGACACATTTGGTTTTGAAAGTTGTTGTTTGAAATATTACCATCAGATTTAGCAACGAACACCGTAGAAATTGTCTGAGAAGAGTTAGTATTGGTGGGATGTATATCAACAGATTTTTTTGAAATGGGAGTGACAACCTTGTTTTGAGCTACCGAAGTGGGAGGATTAGAAGGCCTATTAAGAATCTTAACAGGCGCAAATGTGTTGTGGTTCCTAGTAAATGGGCTTACAGTCCGAGATACTTTCTTCTTAGAGTTCTCAATGAATCTGGAGTCACGTCTTGACCTAAATTATTTTTTAAGGGAATTTTTGGCTTCTTTATTAGGATCGACGACATCTTTCCTATTTAACGATGGTTTCTTCCTGGAGTCGAATGATGACTTGGAAGATTGGCCTACAGATGGGTTGTTGAACTTAGGCTTGATTGGTACTAAGTTTTTTTTTTTAAATCACTTGAGAATTAGAAACACAAGAGTCAGATGAGTAATCTACTAAGATTTCTTCTTCTACATCACTATCAAAAGATTCCCAGACAAAATCCGATTTATCCGAGTCAGGTCCAATTGTCTCCGGAATTATTGCCCTAATGACACAATTGTTAGGAGGACAATGATTCGGAACATGAACTACAATATTGGTTTTTCTAGGGAGAGATTCCAAGGTCCGATTCAGGTCCAGGGGTGTCAGAGGCGGAAGAGGCGTGGAATCAGGGTACTTGACAAGAAGGGGTGACAATGGTGAGACAGGGGTATCCGAATGTGGTGAGACAATGGTGACAATGGTGAGACATGGGTATTCGAATATGGTGAGACAATGGTGACAATGGTGGAAGAGGCGTGGAATCAGGATACTTGAAACTCAGGAATCAAAGATGAAAAATGGACTGAGGTCTCAAGAAGGGGTGACAATGGTCAGACAGGGGTATCTGAATATGTGTGGTTCGGAATGTCTCCCATAAAAGTTAGATCTCGTAACTCCTTCAAGGGACGAGCAATTGGTTTCGGAAACTCGCTTCCGAGACTAGGTGCTTTGGACCACGGATGAAGAAAATTATAAGTCATTCGTTCACTGGCTTGAAGAATGTCTATGGGATGATGTAAAGCATCAATTTTGGAATTCAAACGTTTGTTATCAATAATTAAAACATTCCTTTCAGAATAAGTGATTTTACATTTGTCTTTAAGAATGATACATTCATCTTGTGAAATCACAAGTTCATGCTCTAATGATTCTATTTTAAGCTTCCTATCCTCGAAACGTAACTGAAGACGACTCAATTCACTTTCCATCTTCTCACTGCTTCTATGGTAGACTCATAGGCTTTATAAATGATGTTCATATCTGATTGGATCGTGGTTAGATATGGTTCACAAAGAGATAAATAAAAATTATTATTAGTAATCATAGATTTTACCTGTTGAACAATGCTTCAACCTGGTGGATCGTTGGTAGCCGTGTAGCAGTAATTTGGCTCAAAATCTTCATCATCTCTTTTTGATCCAGATGACTGATAGCCTTCATCGCATTTGATTGTCTGTCTAGCATAAGACACATGTTTCTTACATAACTCACATCATCTTCATCTCCAGATGACCAATATCCTTCCACATCTCTTGACACAGTGGTGACGAAAGCTTTATCACTTGTAGCCATTTCTTGGGCTCGGCGGACATAGTAAGTAGAGTCAATGATCTTTGGTTTCTATGTGGCTTCAACCATACAATCCTTGGAAAAGTGAATTCCATCACCATACTTGTGACAGACGATCTTTGGTTTGTTTGACTTCGGATTCTTACGAGATTCCGAGGGATGATTTGGTGTCGAGATGTTTGGTTTGTAAGAAGGTGAGTTCTCTGAGGGTTTAGGAAATGGTTGGAGATTACTTTGATGAGGATCTTGGAAACGGTTGTGATATGGTTTGTGAGTAAGGTTATAAAGTCGCTTCTATTTCATGGACAATAAAGCAAATTCTTTTTGAAAGCGAAGTTCGGAGTCCATTGCTTCAGGGTCGAGGTCTCCATCAAACTGATAGTTGGAGTTAGCAAGAACAGGTATAACTTGTAGAGAAGGTTGAACAGATGGAATAGGAGGGATAACATTTTTGAAAGGGTCCGAAACAGATGGGTTCGAGACATGAGGATCAAAAGAACTAAATAGCAAGAGGACCTCCTGAGAGTTCTCTCAATGTTTGAGCAACATTTGATTCATGTCCTTGAATTTCATCAAACAGTTAGTAAAGCTTCAGTTTCTTCAGAGATCCATTTCTCTGTAGACATGATTTCACATTTCCCCATCCTTTACTAGGACTATTTATGAAATTGAGATTGTATTCTAGCGGAGTTCGGACAATCCCATGAGCTGTCATGTTGTTGACGACAATTCGGTATCGGTTTGATGCTGAGGCAATAGACTCAACAGGAATGGTGGTGAAAATATGGAACTCATTTACGACTGAGGTCAACGGCTTATCCCTCATGTTTTCCGATCCCTCGAACAGGTCTTGGAGAGTGTCCCAAATCTCTTTAGCAGATTTTCACAACTTAATGTGCTCAAAGAGAGAAGGGGGAACGCCAAACACTATGTCCGAAAATACAACTTGATCTGCATGCAATTTCTCTATATCGGCAGTAGTGAGAGGTGCCTGACGTTGTTCATCTTGACC